GGTTGGAATGCCCTCTACGGTCGTTGGAAAAGCACGCAGGGATACGCCACTTCAATTGTGTAGAACCGACGTTTCTCAGAGAAAAATGTAGAATTGACTATTCATTCTTCTCCCTATTTTAACTATTGCCGAGCTTTCAAGAAAACAGTGGAGACTAGAAAACATGATCCTTATCCACTGGTTTATTGAGAGGATTTCCTCGGGCATGAAGATTGTGAAAAAGAATTCACGCAACCGGCAATCAATTTATGAGCATTTGTCTTATTTGCTACGTGGAGAAAGAAGAAATGATGAAAATCACGAATGAGCCTATGATTCATCGCGTCATGAAAACAGATTTGATGACAATTGAAGATAACATGATGTATTTTGCATATTTTAATAGTTTCAGCCATGCTAATAATATTTATATTGCTAATTTGTTTATTACTTCTTTATAGTCACACTCCACCTCTGTTGATCTTCTTTAAGTTGCCATCACATAAAGGATATTTTATTTTTTTGGCAAATTCATCTAGCATATTTTTTTCTAGGAATTACATAGTACAACGTAGACGTCCACAACACGCACGCAGACTCACCCCTATGAACACACGTACGCAAATCATATCTCTATGAGCACATCCGAAGGACTGACCTGGCAGATCTGGAGATTCACGAAGTCACCCAGGCGCCTCGCTATCGACGGGGACGTCGCCTACCATTGAAAGCATAGTGTCGTTGAATCCTGAAATAAATCTCGGAAAATGCGAGCACCTGTTACAAGTCGAAGACTTGAACCCGGATGGGTAGATCTCACCACAAAGGACCTAATCAACTGGTCTATTATCAGTTCGCAGTTCGTCTAGCACATGCTAACAGATGGCTTTTGGTGAAAATTATTTTATTTTTAGCCCAAACAATTCTATGGCTAATTTTACACACACATATAGCGGTGCCTTTCGGTGGAGTTTATTTGGTTATTTGGAAGCATGTAAGTATGAAAATGCTTATTAAAATGCTCGTGTGTGCACAGTGCTCATGTGCTTATTCTACCGCCAGCATGTAAAATAGTGAGAGGGCGTGTGGGCACTGAGCATGTAATTCCGAGCTGGGCTGTAATTGGGCTAAAACTACAACTGGGCTTTCCTATTTGAAGTGAAAAGGCTGCTTCTTTTATTAGCCATTGGATGAGGAACGGAGGGCATCCAGCAGGGGGCAAGTCACCCGTGGCTTACCTTCAGTAAGGGCGTGTTTAGTTCCGAAAATTTTTAGCTTTTGGCTACTGTAGCACTTTCGTTTGTATTTGGTAAAAATTATCCAATTATGGACTATTTAGGCTTAAAAGATTCGTCTTACGATTTCTCGGTCAACTGTGTAATTAGTTTTTTTTTCGTCTATATTTAGTACTCCATGCATGTACCACAAGATTCGATGTGACGAGTACTGCGCAAATTTTTTTGAATTTTGGGGGAAACCTAAACGGGGCCTAAGTCCGAGAATCCGAGCCGCCAAAAATAGGCGTATGCTGCTTTTGCAGCGGGTACACGGTATCTTTTTTTTAAAAAAACTGGGGTATCCATTACTCGTCTGCCAAACGGCAGCGACAAGAACATTTACATTATTTGGGATGGAGCTAGTGATCAGAAACGATCGGCAGCGACAAGAACATTTACATTGTTTTGGATGAGTTTGGGATGGAGCTAGTGATCAGCTCTTGTCCCTCAACACACTCGAAACCCAGCTCTGCCAATACATGAGCAGGCCTATTACATTCTCTTCTCTTGAATACGCACCCAAAAGCAGAAAATTTTGAAGCCACTAAAGACTTCATTTCATTTACCAGCCCTCCCTCCGGTCTTGCACAGGGCGTCACCGAATTGCTGGAGCATAAGGGCACCAGTTAGCAGGATTAATCTACTGATGCTCAAGTTCAGCGCAGTTGGACACCCTGCAGCCCTCCAATAACTTCCGCGTGAAAAGCGCTGAGCAAATGATTGATCCTCTCTTGGCATGTAAGCACCACGTCGCCGTCGTTGTCACGTATGATAATCCCCAGCTGCCTGGCGAAAGAACAATTCTCTCTGTGTCCACTGCGCAGTGCTCTTCCCACGGAGCCGAGGGCCCTCGTAAATAGCAGCGCTCTCCGCTACCGTTTAACTTCAGCAAGCAGTTTGGGACTAAAAGTTGAAGCGCTGGCCGTGCGCACTACGCTCGATGTCTATGCTAGCTAACGGGCCGATGGCGGACCGCAAATCAAGGCCTACGCCGTGGATTTCCATTTTCAGGCCAGAGCCAGACGCAGTGAGGTGATGCCCACAGGCCCAGAGGAATGCGTGGCCTAGGCAGCCGTTTGCTGTCCGGCCTAAACAAATGCTGTGAAGGTGAAGCTAGCGCAGGGGCACCGGCGCTGCCAAGCTTGCCCGCGGCCTGCCTCCCCAATTTCAATTTGTGGTGAGTGGTGACTGATGAAACTGATTGGTCGCAGCCTCGCAAGTCGTAGTTCCGAGTTCCGACGTGTATATCGTCGAGTTTCCAAGAAGAAATCTAGACACTGGATCGTGTCATTGGATTGGTCCCCGTTTCCACGCTTTCCCTCAAGCTCCGTTGATTCTCAGCAGGTCAAGGATTAATTTAAACTAGGTAGCACGTCCAGTGCGATGGATTGAACTTCTTTTAGACACCATGTCCAGCGCAAGGGGACGAAATTTGTTTGCACAAAATGCTATAGGCGTCTACCATGCGAAGAACGGGCTCAAAATCGACCTAACCGACCCCTCGGTTGATTTCATCGATTCGTTGTGTTCTACGTGCGATCAAGGTTCATTCTAACTTCGGACGTGCTATCTCTTACTAGTGTGTAATTTAATTTGGCGTCACCATGTGGGGAAACAAGAGAAAGAAAATTCCAAACATTCAGTTGCAACAACGAGGCTGGTGGTGAGAATGAGAATTATTCTGCAGGGTAGAGCATGCAAGGTGGCGTTTATTTAAAAAAAATGAGAGGATTCCTTATTTGACACTGGGAAAATGAGTTATTTCTTTCTTGGTCCTGAAATTTTCTTCGTTCCCTATTTGACACTCACTTCAACTTTCATCCATAATTTGACACTACCGTCAAATCCGTTAACTAACGGTGTTAACTGGCTGTTAAAAAGACGTTTTTGCCCCTAGAAAAAAAGCGGCGAAGCAAATTTGAGAGGGAAAAAAACTGCGCCCCCTCTGACGCATGCGCCCAGCTGCAAAAAAGGCGCAGGTTTTTTTTCCCTCTCAAATTTGCTTCGCCGCTTTTTTTTCTAGGGGTAAAAACGTCTTTTTAACATCCAGTTAACACCGTTAGCTAACGGATTTGACGGTAGTGTCAAATTAGGGATGAAAGTTGGAGTGAGTGTCAAACAGGGAACGAAGAAAATTTCAGGGCCAAGAAAGAAACATCTCTTTTTCCCAGTGTCAAATAAGGAATTCTCTCTTAAAAAATCGGTATCGCTAGCGCCCGAACGTCTGGACGGATGGGGTGTCCAGACGACCGCACTTGCAGTCCGCTTCCTGCACCATTTTTGCGCTCCCACGCGAGGCTCGCGCCGCCCGGAGGCACCATCCTGCCTCAAGGCGCCGCTGACCATTGTTGCAGGAGCGTGGTCTGCCCACCACCATGGAGGCGAGAAACACCGCCGGAAAATCTGATCCACATTGACCAGATAGAGATCCGCTGCATTTGTCCGATTTACTTTTAAAACATCCAGATACAACAATTGCAACATACAAAAGAAGACCGATAAAACACTTGAAACATGCTTCTGAAGCACTTACAAAAACACATGAAAACACTTGAAAATCATTACAAACATGCACATTATCCCGATAAAACACTTGCAACATATGTGTGAAACGTATGCAACACCCAAATAAACACACTTGCAACAATACGTCCGAAAACACAGATGAAACATTGGGAATAGATCTTTGCATCATACGTGTACAACCATTGCATCATATGCAACATTCTGATCTACTTTTGCAACATTCATCTTAAAAACTTGCAACATACCTCTAAAACATCTAAAACACTTAAAACATACGCTTGCAACAAGCATTTTCAACACACCACAACATCTCCTTATTGCTTGGAAGAATGGAGGCTCGTTAGCGTGTGGAGTTCGCTGGAGGCAGCAGCCCGGCGGTGCTTGTAGGCGGCGGTTTGGCGGCACTCGTAGGCGGCGGGTGGGCGACTGCTGCTGCATGATGCGGCAGGGAGGCAGCGCCGAGCGCCGCATGTGGGAGCAGAGTGGAGTGTGGCATGTTGGGAGTGATTTTTTTTTTAGAACGGATGAGCGGACAATGGAGAGGGTCGTTGGACTAACGACGTGTGCGAGAGCGTGCGGACAGTGGCGTCCGGATGGATGGACCGCTTAATTGTATCACTGTCCAAGAAAAAGAACACGCAAGATGGCCATCGCTCTGCACTTCTGCAGTGGCGTGCCCCAATCTGCTGCTGGCGTCACGTTTCTTTACTTGTTTCGTCGGTCAAACTAGGCATGTGTTAAACCTTTTTTTGTAGGACTGCGTGTGCTATCGCTATGTCTACTGACACTGCTGGTATGAATTAAATAAATTCAACCAATTTGAGTGGAGCATCAGACCGTGGAAGCAATTTTGTTTTCAGACTGATCCTTGTTTTCTATCCCAGGTCTTTGCAATTGCAATAGCAAGACAGGGCGCCTTGGTTGGTTGTTGTTACCAGATCCGATCCGATCCCGCTGACTGGTGGGGTCAGCATCCAAGTCAAAAAATCGCAACCCCTGGCACGGGCAGGTGTGGCTGCGGAGCGGAACCGGAGCTCGTAGTCGTAGTAGGTGGTGCTGCCGTGCTGGGGCTGCAGCCCGGGCGGGTGGATCGGACCGGAGGCCCCGACGACGGGGTAGGTGGCGACTCCGCGCCGTGTATTAAACCACTCCCTGCAACCTTCCCTCCACTTCACCGTTTCTTTCTCCCACACCAACCAGGCAACCAAACCTTCTCCAATGGCCGCGCCCGTGTCGCAGCCGCCGGTGGCCGCCAGGGCGTCCACGCGGTTCCTCCCCCGTGGGATAGGCGCGCTTCCGGAGTCCGCCCCCGCGTCCCTCCGGTTCTCCGTCGGCCGCCGCCACCGCGCCGCTCGCCTAGGTCCGCGTGGATGCTCCCCTTCACCTCGTATATTACTTACTGGAATTTGTTTCGTATACACGGCGTTGAGCGGATAGGCATGGCGCGTTTTGTGGCGCAATTGGGCTGGAGAGTGCTGGGAATCCCGGGCGGGACCTGGGGGTTGCTTAATTGCAACTCGGTGGATTGCAGCGTGTCCGTTCGTTGGTGGTAAGAGGGGTTCTGAAAATCTTCCCCTCTGGTCTCTGGAGAGAGAATAACCTGCCTTATGATGACGGCATGGACATGTTTTGTTGTCATTGATTTAGGAATGATCCCAAATGAATATAGGATTCCAAGATTCTGGTGCTAGTTGGCTTAGTTCAGTATTCAATTAATTAGTGTTTTAGATCTAGTGGGTATCACAACTGGTTCTAAAGTTTGCTATCTTTGTCATTTTTCATCATTGATTTTCATGCTTCAATTCTTATGATACTCTAGCAAATGGCTTATGAACCTGCTACTAGTACATGATTGGCATTTTATTAGAACAAGAATGGAAAAAGTGCCGACGCTTAACACCGTGCGCTTTTGAGAACAGAGGTGAAGGCGTCCGGAAATGTGTTCGGGAACTACTTCCAGGTTGCAACCTATGGCGAATCCCATGGAGGGGGCGTTGGTTGTGTGATCAGTGGCTGCCCACCCAGAATTCCTCTCACTGAGGCAGACATGCAAGTAGAACTCGATAGAAGGTGTGTCTCTTCTGGAGTTACTATTTCATAAGTATGTATGTTTGCTATATTCTAGCAGAATACAGTTCTCATATAGAATTTTTGGGATAATATCACTCCCATTTCACTAAAATGTTAGTAACATGTGGAATGCCATATATTCAAACTCATACTGGTGTGCTTCGGTTGTAGCATACCCTTATATACATTTCTAGATTATTTCTTTGTTGTTCACCGATGCCAAAGGATGATTTTTCCTCGATATATTGCTAAACCATTTCTATAAGGTTCACTGATACCAAAGGTTGATTTATACAGACGTCCGGGTCAAAGTAGAATAACCACCCCAAGAAAGGAGACTGATACATGCAAAATTCTATCTGGGACACATGAAGGTATGGTACCTCTAGAATAGAGGACAAAATTTCTGGAACTAAGAATGCATTAGCTTCTCTCAGTAGCATGATAATTCTGGTGGGTTTTTTCTCTCAGGGATGACCACTGGTACACCAATTCACGTTTTGTCCCGAACACAGATCAAAGAGGCGGTGTAAGTATCTAATTTTCTGGATATATATTTTCTTTATGAATGGAAGCTATGGAAGCTGAACATTTAGAAGGGAGAGTGTCAGTACTATATTTTGTTTCATAAACATATTCGCTTCTACAGGATTACAGTGAAATGGCTAAGGCGTACAGACCATCCCATGCAGATGCAACCTATGACTTCAAGTATGGTGTTAGAGCTGTGCAGGTACCTTTTTTTATGCACATATAAGTATAATGTAGTTATCACACTGTACAACCAGTTCTTACACATTTTGTGCTGGAACTTATGTAAGTAATGACTCTCAGACTTTAATATTTGAATTAAAATATTTGTGCTTGATGAATGGTAGGGAGGCGGAAGGTCATCGGCCAGAGAAACCATTGGCAGGGTGGCTGCAGGAGCTCTTGCAAAGAAAATTCTGAAGCTCAAATCAGGAGTGGAGGTGTGCCCTACTTGGCAACCTTTTTCTTGAACCATTATACTCTTGTGATCAACCATTGTAGTTAGCCTGGTTACTTCGCCATAGAAAAATGCAACGCTAAAAAAACGGAAGCTTAATTTTTTGGAATTTTTTATATGTAAAATCTATAAGAGCAAACATTGTTAGATCCTGGTTAAACAGCACTCCTCAGATTGCTTGGACTTGGATCCTGGTTCTTGCTTGACCTAAATATGGCAAGCATGTTGTTATGTGTAGTTCAGATCTTGCTTGACCTAGAGTAATAAACTTTCCTTTTGCGTTTTCATTTCCACTGCAAAAATGCAGTCCCTCCCTCTCCCTTTTATATATAATCCTGATGGAAGAACATCATCTACATGCAGATCTTTGCATTTGTTTCTAAAGTGCATCAAGTCGTACTTCCAGAAGATGCAGTTGATTATGAGACTGTAACCTTGGAACAGGTATCTTCTTTTCACTACCTCCCCCTACAAAGCATTACAGGGATAGTCTTTGCGGTTATTTGCTGAATTCTATCTTATTCTTGTAAATTTCAGATAGAGAGCAACATCGTTAGATGTCCTGATCCAGAATATGCAGAGAAGATGATTGCTGCCATTGATAAAGTACGAGTTAGAGGAGATTCGATTGGTGGGGTCGTCACATGCATTGCAAGAAACGTTCCTCGTGTAAGTGTTGAAGCTCTATGGTTATTTTATTTTGCTTTAGTTTTGATTGCATCGTATCCATTAAGGTTGATCATCCATTTCAAATTTTATTTTGAATCTGATAACTGGTTTGTTTGGGGCAACAACAATTTGTAGGGTATTGGCTCTCCTGTTTTTGACAAACTTGAAGCTGAACTGGCAAAAGCTATGCTTTCTCTTCCTGCAAGCAAGGGGTTTGAGATTGGCAGTGGGTTCGCTGGTAAGGAATCATTTTCATTTATGTTCTAGGAAAAAGGAATCATTTTGTTTCCTTGAATACAAAAGGAATCATGTACATTTTGCACAGGACTAGTTGGCGTTGTTTGCAAATAGGTTATGGGCTATGCAGCGTACTCTACAGCTTGACTAATTCCTAATAACTTGTGCCCAGGTACGGACTTTACTGGAAGTGAGCATAACGATGAGTTCTATATGGATGAGGCTGGAAATGTGAGGACACGAACTAATCGCTCAGGCGGTGTTCAGGTTTTTATCCTAAAATCCTATTACTCTACTTCTACATTTTTGTGTGATATAGTTGCAGTTCGTATGAAATTGTGGACTTACTATTTTTTACTTGTATGTGCATGCAGGGAGGGATATCGAACGGTGAAATTATTTACTTCAAAGTGGCTTTTAAGCCAACAGCAACTATCGGAGTAAGGCATCTCAGTTCAAAACTTCCTTTCTTTGCTTCCTTAAAATGTTAGCAGTGGCATAATTACCATATAATGCCTTTTGAATGATAATACAGAGTAATGCTGTGAATACAGTTGGAACCACTAATTTATCAAAAACACATTTTTTGTGACTACCATGAATGTTAGAATATTTACTTGGTTCAACATCTGCAATTTCTTTTGTATTCAATAATGGCAGTATGGTATAGTTATCTTTTACATGATTCCAGCTACACTTCTGCTACTTGTGAAAAGTTATAGCCAGTTGTCTGATATATTGATTTCACTTTTCCAGAAGAAACAAAATACTGTATCAAGGGAGCATGAGGATGTTGAACTTTTGGCAAGGGGGCGCCATGACCCGTGTGTTGTCCCTCGAGGTAATGGCTCCACCAAAAATTTCCTACCTTTTATCATCACTTTTGGTCCCTATGATCTGATGTTTTTTTTATTCTGTTACTTCTGTAGCTGTTCCTATGGTGGAATCCATGGCTGCGCTGGTCCTGATGGACCAGCTCATGGCGCATATTGCTCAGTGTGAGATGTTTCCGCTGAACCTTGCCCTACAAGAGCCCATTGGCTCTGCTAGCAGTGCATCTGAACTGGCACCAAGCCTATCATAATGTCTGTCGTGGAACATGGCCCTCCAGTTTTCCTTGTATGGAAATTCTGGGCTTTGCTAAGCAGTTTGCAGTTTTGAACCAGCATAAACCCTCGATTATTGTATCTAGAGATTATAAAGTGAATGAATATCGAGATGGAAATGCATTAATGTTTTTGTGATGTGTATAGTATAACAGATATTTACCCTTTTCTTTTTTGGTGAGAGGACGCATGATGTCGTTTGAGCAATAAAGTTTTTAATTTATTTATTTTGGGAGAGATAATAGTGTCTTCCATATGATGAGCACTTGAACAGCCTATATTAAGGAATTTTTCTAAGACCACTCGTATGTCGCTTGGAGTTTGAGATTTCCCCCATAAGTCTGTTTTGCTGCTTCGTCCACCCCTGCTTAGCTTTGATGAAAAAACGCCCCCACCACACTTAATTTTTTTTTTTATATGTAGAGCCATGAGAGGCCCAGTTTGTTTAAAGTGCTAGGATTGAGTTTAATCATCATGTTGTCGTGAACATTTTATGGAAGTAGCAAAAATCAGGGTAACAATGTTTAAGCTCTTATCGGTGATTCTTTTGGTGGAATATCTAAAAGGTGTAGGGGGTATATTGTGGTAAGCGTCTAATAACCCTGATATAGACTGAATTGGTGGTTCCAGTTTGATGAAAACGGGTTGAATTGGTTAAGGGTGCGTTTGGAAGGAGGAATCGGATCCGTTTCTAGGAAGAATCGGTAGAAACGGTTGCAAACGGTTTCCAATGCAAAGAATCGGAGGGGAACCATTCCCCTTATATATACCTTTGTAAAGTCTCAAAACGGCGATGGGTGGTTTCACACCGATTCGTTCTCCCTTCCGACCCCATCTGCTCTGTTTCATTGAAAATTACCGCAACTGCCACCGAGGGATGGACCCACGAACATCAGGACGTGCCGCCTCCTCTACCGATTTTTTTTGTTTTTTAGCCCTTTTTTGAAATTTTTTTCACAAATATGCCCCTGGAGGTATGCTTTCAAAATCTAGACCTTTAGCTCGGCGCCATCGTTGGTGGCGCCGAGCTTATACGTCTCGGCGCCATAGATTTTGGCGCCTAGGTCTTGGGCTCGGTGCAGACGTGGCGGTGACTTGACAGGCACCTTGACGCCGTAGATCTTGGCGCCGTGGTTATTGGCGTCGAGCCCTGTCTTACGTACGGGCCCTCCCTTCCTTTCTCTCTTCCTCTCTCTCTACCGCTCCCAAGCCAGCGCCGCCAGCGCCCGCCGCTGCGCGTAGCCGCGCCCGCGCCCGCGCTGGCCCCCGCTGTGCCAGCCGCCCGCCGCCCCTCCCGGCCCGCGCCGCCTCGTCCATCCCGGCTCGCCGCGCGCATAGGCGCTCCCTCCAGCGACCCCGGCCGCGACACGGCCCCTGCTCCCAGCTTGCCGCGACCTCGCCATCGATCCCGTCCTCCGCGTCCCCGTCCTGCTCCGGTCCCAGCGTCCGCGTCCGCGTTGCATTGACTTGGACATGTAAAATTTTTTAATATACAATGTAGGTAGTTAGCTTGAATTGTAGTGCTACTTTGATTATTTGGTAGCTTCTAGTAAATTTGATGATGTAGGTAGTTGATTTAGTTAGTGAGATAGATATAGTTAGATAAATATAGTTAGATAGCTAGTGACATAGGTACATAGATATAGTTATTAGATATCTAGTTGATTTAGTTAGTGAGATAAATATAGTTAGATAAATATAGTTAGATAGTTAGTGACATAGTTATTTAGGATGTAGTTGGTTAGTATATATTAGAGAGGTACTATATAGTAGCTACTTTGGACTAAACGAGCTGTATTTCAATTTATGTTTGAACTACTAGATGGACAATCTAGTGAGCATATATTATGGAGGCACCGTGGAAAGAGATTGCTATGGATATGTTGAGTTTGTTGAGATGCAAAGCGTGCCTGTGTTATTCAATGAGAAGCCTTCATTTAGTGAGTTGGTTGCAAGGGTTCGGGAGGAGCTACATTGCCATGGAGTTGATGATGATGATGGCATCGCAGTGGAGGGTGTACTTCACCTAGGTTCCCCTCCCAACATCCTAAGGAAGATTATCCCAATTGAGTGTGCAGACCAGTGGGAGAACTATGTGAGATCGGTTATGAAGTGCCAGTTCCAAAGTTTGGACGTGGTTGTGCATCAGGTGTTAGTTGATCCCATCCCTTATGAGTTTTCCCCACCAATGGGTCAATGAGACACACTTTGACCCTCCGTCCGGAACTCCGATATGGATGTGGAGGTTGCATCTCGATTATCGATGCTCAATCGCCCCTAATGAGCTAGTTGGAGATGCTTGTTAGACTCATGATGTTGTGGCGATCCTCCTCATGAGATCCCTTTGATCTGAGAATCATCCGAGTAAGTGTCTTATCCGCATGGTTATTGGAAGCTTACCCCTTCCTTACATCCATTTTTTTCATTCTTTTCTCATTTTCTACTTATGTTGCAGGAGAAATTCCTAACAATGTGGATGTGCCATTGTTGTTCTTGAGCAAGTTCACCGTGAAGATGGATTCTGTGGCTCCAATAATGTTGAAATTATGAATGATTCGGATCCATATGAGATGGCAAGGGCTCTTGATTACGATGATGATCGTCTGTTGGAGAGGACAGAGAGTGATGTTGAGATCTTTGGCGTATCTTTCTTGGATGATCATCCTGTTGGAGAGCCGACATAGACGACTTCTATAGGATGAGGTGCCCTCAGAATATGTTTCTATCTTTGTCGAGTTCCACCCGCCAGATAGAGTTGCACGCTAATTTGGGTGAGACGGCTTTGTGCCAACTCGATTCCGTTTCTTGACTAGCGTTGACTTTACACAAGTAAGTGTTTTGCTATTTCAATTGTCTCATGATGGTCCATTTCCATTAATTCCTATATAAGATGAAGTAATGATGACATACGTGCACTTTTAATATGGTGACATGTACATGGATTGAGATGAATGTGCGTGTATGGACATTTCTTGTTCTCATCATTATGACAAGTTATAGGACTATGGGTTCAACCCATGTCGTGATCTGTTTTCTCTTCTTTCTTTGAAACCCACGTGGTAACATTTTCCATAGTGAAGCTTACATATGATGATACGTTACGTATGATTTCTTCAATCACTCTATACCTTTCTTGGGAAGCTTACATCAAATAGTCGCGTCATATAACTTAGGCGCCATCGTTTTACAACATCAATTTCATACCTGCTAGAAACTAACATCTTACGTGACGTGCAGGTTGGATCGTCAGAAGAACAGAAAGATTTTTTATTGGGAGAAGCACCACCAGTACTACATTGAGCAATGGGAGCTGTTGCACGACAACGTGGACGGGAACAACGAGCCACACACGAACCATGAGTACAGGCGCTACCAAGCTTGGTACCAACGTGCGACACGTTGCAGGCTGAGGCTATAATGGACAGAAGATGACTACGTCGACATCGAGTCCTCCGACGATGAAGACATGGCGTACGACCAAACTACTCGTGTAGGAAGGCAGGTGGAGGCAAGACCAATCTTAGACAGAGTGGTAAGTCAATTGCCTTATTTTTCTATGTTAAGTTGCATACCAATACATTCTGCGTTTGAGGTCTCTATTTTAGTTAGTGGCACCTTCGAGTCGTAGCATCCTTATAATTCAGTACAACAGATGGAGTTGAGGAACTGGTCAGGAATTAACTAGTACTCCATACTAGATTAGTAGCGTCCTCATTTTTTAATGTCCACCACAATCTTACTGTGAACTTTGTTGTAGGGCAATACCCTCAAATGCTCGGTTGAAGACATTGAGCGCTTTCATCCGAGAGTCAGGAACGACGACACACGTAGCTTCCTAGACATAAGATTTAAAATATTCTTTGAAATATATTATTAATACGCTAAATTCTTTGATTAACATTATTTTATATAACAGAGATCACATCATTTCTCGCCGTGTGGCTACTGTGTGTGGTTGCAGGACGCCCACGGCGCAAGACGCAATACATTCCTTCCATAGGCGAGAGGGAGACTTAGGTTCGCCTAGCCAATCACCTCTGAGGTCCATAGGCATTGTGTGTGAGGACGAGGGCGAGGACAAGAACAACGATGAGGTGGACCCGGAGGCATAAGGAGCTTGGCCCATCTCGGCTCCGGGACGCTCCCTCGACTTAGCCTACACAACCTTGAGGCTAAGGCGGCGCCATCCACGACCCTTACACTCCGAGCACCCAACGCTCTTGGTCATAAGGGTAAGGGTAAGACTAGGAGGTAGTGAGGGTTTGTGGTAGATGTTATTATGTAGTATTATGGACTTTGTGGACTTTCATTATTAACTATTGTGGACTGTATGGACTATTATTATCGAATATGAACTACTATGGACTACAATTATGGACTGTGTGGACTATTAATATGCTCATGTATATGGTTTTAGATGAATGAGGCATATATTTATATGTTTGTACATGTTCTATTGAGGTTAAATATTCATCTCATATTTGTGTATGGATGGCATAAAAAAATAGGGAAAATTATGGCGAAATTTTCTGCCTAAAGTACGTATTAATCAACGGCATCAGTTTTTTCGGTTCAAAATAGTGATTGAAGTCTGAAATCGAATAGGCATTTTAGTCATGGAATCTAGGGGAAATAACATTTACAGTGATTTGTCATGTCACCGTCGAATAGACTTTTCAGTGTCCTTCGAAATAGTGATTGAAATTTGAAATCGAATAGGCTTTTCAGTCATGCAATCTAGGCTCTCCAGTGTCCTACGATGTAGGCTTTTCAGTGATTCTGAGTAGACTTTCCAGGAGCATTTACAGCACAATACAATGGCTAGCAAACTTGCCTTGGCCCATATATATGCGTTCTAGGATGCAATGCTAACCAAAAGGAAAACCAAACTAGTATTCATTTTCGTTGGAGTAGGAATGTCTGGAGGGTCATCTAGAGGAAAGGGTTTCGGGAGTGGGAGAGGAAAGGGGGGACAAAG